TAAATAAGTTTATTAGTTTAACTCATTTTTAGTTGATTCCCTAAGTGAGTTGTATATATAAGGTTATGTCCTCTGAAAACAGAAATAGTTTTTCTTCTTCCTTTCCAATCTGGATGCCTTTTCTTTCTTTCTTTCTTTTCCTTTTCTTTCCTTTTCTTTTCTCTGCTTTTCCTTTTTCTTCCCTCCCCTCCCCTCCCCTCCCCTCCCCTCCCCTCCCCTCCCTTGTCTAACTGCTGAGAAGGGGCTTTTTAAACCAGGCTTGGGGGCTATCTAAGTAAGATGAGGAAAACAGCCCAATCCTTGTCAGACCCCCTGACCGCTGTTGGCGGGAGGACGTGTCTTCTCTGTATGCAGACGGATGTGACATACAGTATTACAGTGACTCCTGATAGTCCTATGACAGTTAGGGGTAGTATCTGCTTTTCAGGTGAAGAGAAGAAGTGGGGCCCTGAGGATAAATGCTGTGCCCAAGGATCCACCGCAGCGAAGGACACCGGCCAGCCTTACCACCCAGGCCACTCAGTGCCAGATGTCCTGCCTGTCTGGCTCCTCCCCAGAGCCCCTAACACCAGGTTCCCCTCCATGACCACCTGCCTGTGCTGTGTCTCCTGCTGCTCCTTCTTGTTCTCTTCTGTTGGAATTGAAATGATGCCACCAGTCCAATTCATGAAGCCCAGATCTCCCCAAAACCGAGGTGATATCTTTCTCTTTTGAAGACCTGCAGCCCTTTGTAACTCCTGGGTGGTGTTTCTTCATGTCCGCTGTTTGTTGACCCTGGAGTGCCCACATCCTTGTGACTCCCTGAAAACTCTCTAAGGGCAGGGACGATCTCATCCCTGTGTCCCTGACGTGTGAGGAACAGAGCTGTTGTGGGTATGTTGTGTTTATGAAATAAAATGTGGTTAGTTTGGCCAGCCTTTGCAGAGTCGCTCCTGGAGAAGGGTGTTCCTACCACGTAGAAGGGCAGTGGGTGTGCCCCCCGGCATTCGCAGGCTGGGAGCCCTGGAGTTTGTACAACCGTGTGGCCAGCAGCACTCTCCAGAAAACACTGCTGAGGCCAGAGTAAAGTGGGAAGCGTCAGCATTTGAGTGAAATGGGCTGTGGTTCTCTGAAATGATATCTGTTTACTAGTTTAGTGAATATTGGAGGGAATCTGTAATGTGCAACCTTTTACAAGTGTTTGGCGTGGTTACGGTCCTGTGAGATACACATCACCTCTGACCCGGCAGTTCTGTCGCTGTAAGCTTTCCTAAACGTGTGAAGATAGGTGTTCAAGAATGTTCACTGCAGATTGCTCACAATCGCAAAGCACCAGCACCAGCCTAACTGTCCATTAGTAGAAGTGGTTGTATAAACTATGGTGAAGCGTCCAGTGGACTGCTGTACGCAGCCCTTCAGGGTAGTGACGTAGATCTGTATATGCTGATGGGGAAAAACGGTCAGAACGTGGCGCTGCTTTCAAAAGGAAGCTGTCGATCAACTTGCATGTGCAACACAGTTTGTGTGGAGGGAAAAAGAAAGGCAAGTTTTCTTTATGTGCATTTGCCGTTCCCGGATGTCTGTACGCCCTCCCAGAACCCCAGAAGGGAGTGTCTGCCTCTGGGTCTTCGAGGTCAGGGGGTCTGGTACTTGCTTTTCACACTTCACTCCCCCGTATTGGTTGCTTGCTGTCTTCTCTGACGGCATGTACTGTTACGGTATAAATGAAAATCTCACAGTGCTCCCTCGTACGTCTGGTTCAGGGGCGCCTGGGTGGCCCAGTCAGTCGAGCATCTGACCCTTGGTTTTGGCTCAGGCCATGAACTCATGAACGGTTCATGAGTTCGAGCCCCGCGTCGGGCTCTGTGCTGACAGCACAGAGCCTGCTTGGGATTCTTTCTGTCTCTCTCTCTCCCTCCCCACCCCTCCCCTGCTCGCTCACTCTCTCTCTCTCTCTTTCTCTCAAATAAACATTAAAACATTTAAAAAAAAGAATAAAGTGTCTGGTTCAGTGGGTTGTTGTGTATTCACAGAGCCGTGCACCCATCCCCACCGTCCGGTTCCTGAACACCTCTGTTACCCCAGCAGAAAACCCCGTGCCCATCAGTACATGCTCCCCCTCCCTCAGCGCTGGCAGTCTTGAATCTGTTTTCTGTCTCAGTGGATTTGCCTATTGTGGACATTACACGTTTAGACCATTGTCTTATGCTTCTTTTTCTTCCCTTATGAATACAAGGCACAGGAGGTCTCTGGCTCCTGCAGTGTAAGCACTGAGGGGCATCTTTCCCTCCTTCCCAAAGGCTCATTCTCCAGCTCGCAACCTAGATCAGGAATGGGGCATGCATGGGATGAGATGCAGGGATGCTGGGTAGGATTGTCAGAGGCCCACAGTGGCCCATTGCAGACAGAGATGCCCATGCCGACACCCTGCGTTACAGGTGAGTCCCGACAGGCCTGCCGGCTGTGGGCTGGCCTCTGCCCTTCGGGACAGGGCTGCTGTGATGTTTTCTTTGATGTGCCTGGGATACGTTCTGCATATCTGTTCACTTCTCTTCGATGGCCTACAAAAACCAAAGATCCCAAACTGTATACTTGCTTATACAGACTATGATATGTTGTGGGTAAATGGACATCATTTATCATTAGTTTGATCCAAAGTGAATTGTCTCTCAGGCTCGAAATAGGAAATTCACCTTTAAAGAATCAAGTATTTCTCATTACAGACTGTTTATTGAACACATAGCTTCCTAAGCACTATTGGCTAAGATACCAAAGTCACAAATTGTTTATAAGCCAAGAAGGAGTTTTCAAGGCTAGAATCTCCAAGACCATATCCAAAAGCTGAGGAGTTTTCTTTTCCTGGAAGAGTCGGTTGTCATAGAAACACAGCTTGGTACTAATGGCTCACACCTCACCTTTCCCTCCGTGATTAGCTCAGCAGATGTGTACCGGGTGCCTTCTGCCCATCAGACACTCTTCTAGGTACCTGGCGTTTTCCGTCAACAAACCCCGTGTGTCCGGGGAGCTCAGGGTCTGCCGCAGGAGAGACACTGTAAGCGATGAGCATGCGGTGTCGGAAGGTGGGAAGTGCCGTGGAGAAAGTACAGACAGGGCAAGAGGGGTCGGGCAAGTGGGGTTGGTGGAGCTGAGCCCCCCTGGAGAAGGTGGGGAGGTGCGGTCCGCGGGAACGGGGGCGGGGGTCAACCTAGAGCATCTGCAGAAGCAAGGGCCTGAGGTGGGGAGTGGGAGAGGTCACCAGCCGTCGCAGGTGGCAGCGGATCGGCTCCTGGACAACCATTGTCTCTGACGGGCAGAGCGAGCCCGAGGTACCTCCCGCTTAGCGTCTTCATGAACAGGATTCTGATCAACAAATTCGTGAGCAAAGGGCTGCTGGCCTTTTGAGGTCATTTTAAAATCTTTGTTGTTGTTGTTTTCATAAATAGATGGATTTCACAGGAGGCTCCCACACTTCACCACAGTGATGTTCTATTTTATTAAAACTAGCCCGAGTGTGGCTAGAACACTAATTCATTTATCTGTCAGATGTTAGGCTGCTGGCATTGCATATGTCTCGGGTTGTGAAACGTTCATTCTTCCAGCCCCACATGAGGCAGAACAAGGCTCCGGGGAGTGGGCTCCCCACCCTCACCCTGCGGCCCGGCGTGAGGGCTCGTTCCAGCAAACCCGGGGTGCACTGGGGGCCCCCACACTGGCTCGTGATGGCCTGGCACTAAGGAGAGAGGGGAAGGTGATGGGGGACAGACCCCGGGGCCTTGTAAGTAGAAGGAATTTGGCCCTTATTTTTGTAAGTAGCAGAAATAAATGGATCGAGCAAGAACACGGTGTCCTTTTGAGAGATCTGGTGAGGTTTTTTTGGGTTTTTAAAAGGTTTATTTTGAGAGGGAGAGAGCATGAGCTGGAAGAGAGAGAGAGAGAGAGAGAGAGGGAGAGGGAGAATCCCAAGCAGGCTCTGTGCTGACTCAGGGCTTGATCCCATGAACTGTGAGATCATGACCTGAGCCAAAACTCCAGAGTTGGATGCTTAACTGACTGAGCCGCCAGGTGCCCCGACCTGGTGAGTCTTAAGGAAATTGCTCCGCAGGTTGGCCGGACGTGCTGCCATGCGCTTCAGCTGGCGGGTCCACGCACGCAGGGGTCTTGGTGGCTCATATCCAGGAAATGCTTCTTTTGCCTATTGACGGGAACTTGCAGGTGGGAACCCACCACACTTGCCACCTTGTGCGCTAGGAGAGCGTGTCCAGACAGGCACTGGAGACCCGTTCAGTCCCCATGTCCCCTCTGCCAGCTCCGCCCCAGGCACGGAAGGCCTGCATATCCACAGGGGGTGCAACCCTGAAGCTCCGGCGTGTGCAGCGGGGGGCCGTGTTGGCGCAGGGCTGATGCGGTGGGCCTGGCTGGTGGAAAGCAGGTGCCGGTCACGGTGCGCCCGGATCGGAGCATCGTGGGTGCCTCGTGGGGTCTGTGGGGTCTGCTCGGGGGGAAGAGCAGCATGAGGAGGCGGACAGTACCTGCTGCTGCTGGAGGGGCGGCGCTGTTCCCAGCACAGGCTCCACGGCGATGGCAGGCCACGCCTGAGTCACGCCCCGGGGACTGTCCTCGGCAGTGAGGCTAACCAAGAAGTAAAATTGGCTGGGGATGGCCGTTGCTTTGGCCAGGATGTCGGACTGACACCTACACGTTTAAGTTACAGCACAGCAAAGTGCTACCTGTATTTCAGAGAACCTTTAGAGACACAACTGATGCCTTCAGAAGCTTTTTGAACGGTCACGTTAACAGTAACGGTGGGTGGAGTGGGAAGGAGAGAGGCACGCTTGCTCAAGCTCGTTCCCGTCACACATTCGAGTCGGGAGGGTCCCTGTGAGGTCGGTGACCTGGAGAAGCCCCCTCGGCTCTCAGGCACTTCCCCGTTTTCAAAGCCACGTTTCTTGCTTTGTGCGCAGGACGACGTGACACGTCTTACTAAGTGCTGTTGCTTTTCTGCAGAATCTCTCCTTCCTGACATGGAGTCAAGTAAAAAGATGGAATCCCCCGGCACCCTGCAGACGAACCCGCCGCTGAAGCTGCACCCTGACCGCGGCGCCGGGACGTCCGTGTTCGTCCCCGAGCAAGGAGGTTACAAAGAAAGGTTTGTGAAGACCGTGGAGGACAAGTACAAGTGCGAGAAGTGCCGCCTGGTGCTGTGTAACCCGAAGCAGACGGAGTGCGGACACCGGTTCTGTGAGACCTGCATGGCGGCCCTGCTGAGGTGGGTCCTGCTGCCCGCGTCGGCCCTCGCCGCGTCTTGGGCTTCTCCGGCCTCTCCCCCGCCCCCTTCTTCACTTCCCTAAACAGTAAACTCTGTAAAGGTTAAAAGCTCTGAAGAAACCCAAATAAAATTCTCAGAGCCCGGCCCGTGATCATCCAGGGAAAGCCAAGAGGACGTCGTGCTTGGGTTTTCCAAGGCTTCTGTGACGCGCGGCCTGGACCACCCAGCCCCGTCCCCCAGACTGCTGTCTCCTCTCCCCACAAGCACCTCTCAGCAGTCACTCCCGCACCTGCCACCTTCCTCATGGCACTCACCACGCTGGCCCTGGTGCCCTGATGCCCCCCGCCCCCCACCTGTGTTGCTGATTTTTGCTCTAGAAGCTCACGGCTCCGTACAGGAGACACGCCCATCAGCAAAGGCCGAAGGAGCCCTCAAAGTGCAGGTGCTCGGGGTGGGGGGCAGAGACTGAGGACGGGGCCAGCAGGACGGGAACCTAGCTAGGAACCCAGGGTGCCCACACTCACCCAGCAAGTGTAAGCAAAGCACACATGAGCCCTTGGAAGCCCTTGTCAATGTTGGTGCCATTTTAGAATCACTCAGGGAATCTGGGGAGGCGGGCTGGAGTTCTACAGCACAAATAACTTTGTCCGAGAAAGCATTTTGGTTCATCCCCCGGTATTTTCTGGTCATCGTGCCGGCCACTGGGGGTTATGGCAGGATGCTCTCAGACTTGGTCTCCACTGCCAGGGCACAGGGGCCTGGGAAGTCTGCCCACTTCTCTCTTCCTGATTCACCACTGAGGGCAGGGCCCTTGAGAATCACACAGCAGGCAGCCTCTCTCCCTGTCTTCCTCCTCCTGGGCACTTCCGGCTGTGGTCTTATCCACATACTGTGGACGGTGAACTCCGCTTCCCCTGCTTGTGGGGAAAACGGCTCTTGAGTCCAGCTTAGTGATGGCAGCGTAGACTCAGAGCACCTGATTTCTCTTAACGCAGACACCTGGACTGCAGCTCCGGGCCAGGGGGGAGGGCTGCTGGCCATGGGGGGCAGGGGCTTCTGGGGCAGAGCATCCAGAGGGCTGTTCCTCTTCTGGTGTCCCTCCTTTTTCTGCTCCTGGCTCTCATCCTGCTCCATGTTTTTGCAGGTGTCAAGGGATCCTATCCGGATGCTACTCAGCTCTGGGTCTATGGATATAAAAATATTCATATGATTAAAGCAATTTAGCACACGCTTCATATTAGTATAGTCTACATGAATGACCTTTTACTTAAAAACACATTAAGTCTCCCATCAACACTCAGTTTTCCTGCCTGGCTTTCCAGGCTTGTGGAACCTCCCCACTCTGCCCACGGCCCCGGTACATACTTGTCAACCCCGCCCCCTCCTTCCCAAAGCCTCCGCTGACTCCCTGTCTCGGGCAGGGGCCGTGGACGTAAAGAGGGTCAGACTTAGTTTTATTTTTAATATCTAGGAGGTGGTTTCCAGACACAAGATGCAGTTAGAATCAAGTCCAAAAATGGGCAGCGGGGGAGCAGTGGCTCGTGTCCTGCGTTTGGGGACAAGAATGATGTAGTGGATGAACGGTTTTCATACACAGGGTCAGTTTCAGATTCTCGCACTGTTAACTGCAGAATTGCATTGGCTTTTCAGTGTATCGTGAAGGAAAATAACATATGGAGAAAGTACTGGCCGTTTTCGTAAAGCAAGACCGTTTGTAGGCCTCCCAGTAAGCTGTGGGTGCTCACACGGAAGAGCTCCTCCACGGAGAGCTAGTTTTGGTTTCTGAAATAAAATTTCACTTTTAATTGAAAGGGGCTTTCCAAGTGGGACTGATCTAAGCTGCTCTGCTTAAAAACTTCCTTATGAAAAATCACCGTCAAAAAAAATTGAGCCCTTTTCTTCTGTGGCTTGATACTTGAAGCCAGTAGAGCATGGCATCCCGGAGCTCTGGCTGCCGGTCTGAACTCCGCACAGCATGCTTGGCCGTAATGCTGCACATGAGAACAGGACTCACGCTCTGTCTAATGTCTTTGCTGTGTGTTCTCCCCTCAGCTCCTCCAGCCCAAAATGTACCGCGTGTCAAGAAGGCATCATCAAAGATAAGGTATCCTTGGGGGCTTAAGAAATTCTCGTGTCAACTGCTCCCGTAGTACTGTGCGTATAGTTTGCATCCAGGGCTCCGGGCACGCTGACCGTATCTCGGGGTGTCAGGGCGGTGCTGCAGGAGCCAGGCAGGAACTGTGTCGCGTGGGCACTGGACACACACAGCGGCTGCTCAGCCGGGTGACCTCGGCCAGGTGCTTCACCCTCTGAACCTGTCTCCTCACCTGTGACGGTAGTGGCACCACCTCCTGAGACTCCGGGAGGTATAAGTGAAACACAGAGATGCACCTCTCGGGCCTTTGCCCCAGACAGCTGGGGTTCGGCTCCTAGAGCGCAGGTCTCGGGGCTCCGCGGGACTTGCTGTCTGCCTGCCCCCTGCGCGTTATCTCCAAGTCCTTAGACGGATGCAGGATTTCAGCCCTGCCCTCCCCATGTGATTAGGTGTGCCAGCGAAAGCTCTCGACCTCAGTGCACGCTCTCAGAGGACTGAGCGGGGGCCTCCCAGCAGCTTCCCTCCTGGGGCTCGGATCCCCACCACAGCGCCTCTGGTCATCTACGCATTGTCAGACCCTGCTAGGCACACTTTTGGTTTGAAACGACTCATTCTTAAAGTACTTAAAATATCAGTAAAAATGTGTGGTACTGATATTTTGATTGATGAACCTACCAATTTTTTAAATGTCAGTCATTAAATTGCACAGTAAAATTCTTGCTCTGGGGTTTTCCTGCCCAGAGCACTTTACATATTGGGTTTGTCGTCAGGGCGGCCCAGGTGAGTGCAGTGACGTGGGGATCCAGAGCTAGGGCCCTCAGCATAAGTCCCTGGACAGTTGAGAGACAGAACGGGCAAAATGTGCACGTACCTTGTGTTCCTCAGCGATTACTAGCTGCTCCAGATTGCAGTCAGCAAAAGGGAGGGGGCTGTTAGGAAAACACGTCCCTCAACTCTACCCCTTATCCTTGCAGGGTCACTAACTTGTGAACATGGATTGGACCTGGGTGATTGAGAGAAGAGGTTCAAACAGCAGACTTGTCTGTTTCATTGTTCAGAGTTACTAGCCCTAGTTTTCAGTGGCATTGATCTGGTTTTGTTGGAGCATCTTAAATGATGCCGACTGATGCCTTGGGTCCTCATGGGAGTGTGGGGTCCGGAGCCCGGGATCGGCCTCTGCGGTCACGGTGCGGCCTCAGGCTCCACATTCGTACCCTGGGACAGTGACAGTAAATAAGCTCAGCCCTAAGATTCTGTCCTTTCACTGTTTTGATGTTTCCAACCTATGTTTTTTATCTGTAATGTTGAACTCAAATGACTTAGGGAACTTAATGCCACAAAAAAGAAACTTACTTCTTACTGGCTAAAAATACCTGTTTGGTGACTTTAGTGTGTTTTTTAAAAAGTCATGTTTAGGGGCGCCTGGGTGGCGCAGTCGGTTAAGCGTCCGACTTCAGCCAGGTCACGATCTCGCGGTCCGGGAGTTCGAGCCCCGCGTCAGGCTCTGGGCTGATGGCTCGGAGCCTGGAGCCTGTGTCCAATTCTGTGTCTCCCTCTCTCTCTGCGCCTCCCCCGTTCATGCTCTGTCTCTCTCTGTCCCAAAAATAAAAATAAACGTTGAAAGAAAAAAAAAAATTTTTTTAAAAATTAAAAAAAAAAAAAAAAAAAGTCATGTTTATAAAGGATTAGATTTGACTCCAAATTACTTTATTTTTAACTCATAGCAGCTGTTGATTCTATTTCTTTGCCTGTGGAGTTGAGAAAGGCATGTTAAGATCCTTGTTTTGTTTACTGTTCTAGAACAGTAACATATAGAGGAGTTTCTTAGAAATGCCTGAAGACTAAGATGGTATAGACTCTGTTACTAGAAGGAGGGAGGATGCTTATTCTCTAAAGGAAAAGTAAAATTGAAGGAAGGTTTCATTTTCAAAGGGAAACATTTTCGGGGCACCTGGGTGGCTCAGTCAGTTAAGCACCCAACTTCAGCTCAGGTCATGATCTCATGGTTCGTGAGTTCAGGCCCCAC